AAGTTTACGAATATGAAAATATACTTGTAAATAATAAGATTAAAATAGAACAAGAAAAAAATAAATGTTTAGAATATAAAATAGAAAATAGAATATCGAAAAAATACAATAAAAAATTAGAAAACATCAATAAAGAATTAGAAAAAGAAATTAAAGAAATTAGAAAAGAAATTGAAGAAAATCAGAAAATTTGATAATATTAAAATCAAAATAATTTAATTTTAAAAATTTTAACTAAAAAATAAAATTTTGTTTTAAGACATACAAATATATAATCATAAATAATTTAAATCTGATTGATTGCCAATTATTTTCTTCTTGTAGTCATGAATAGACTTTGATTTTGAGGTTTAACTCACTTTTTATAGTTTGATTATATTTGATTGTTTTCTTAGTTTACAGTTAAAGATTTTTATTCAGATGTGAGAATATTTAAAAATCTATTCTATTTTAATATATGCAATAAAAACCAAAATTATACAGCACATGATTCACATATAGTAGCAGTACATTTAGGTTTATTAGAATTTATATCTAGAGGGCGAGAAAGTGACATAGATCGAACATAATAAACTGTTTTCAATTCATTCTTCTATGCTCTGACTATTGAATTGAAAAGATGTTGAATCATTATTTCAGAATCATTGGAGATAACATAAATGTTTAGACTTTGTGATTGGTCGATATATATTCCATAATCAGATGCATGATCGATTATTACATTATATGGATATTCAAATGCTGTCTTGTATACCTTTTTTATTTCTTTAGGAAATTAGTCTATGTTTTGAACACTGCTATTGTTCATTTGAATCTTATCAAGAATATCATTTGATCAAAGATCATGTGAGATTAACATCTCTGCTAATTCACGTTCAATATAAATGAAGGCTCCTTTTGTGGTTTCACAAATAACAAAATTTGCTTCTTCTGAGAATGGGCCTTCACTGAATCCTGTGCCAATACATTGAGATGTTGAAGCTGTTGGCATCAGACTGATTAGTAATGAGTTTCTGACACCATATTTTTGAATCTTTGTTTTT